CTCCTCTGGCGAAGTGCCCAGGGCGTCGCCGAACTGTTGAATGCTGGGATGGCGCTTTTTGACTACTGCTCGGCATGCCTCGTCAAGCTCCCAGCACCATGAGACGACTGGCTGGATCTTCAAATCAAGAAGCGCTTGATGCGCAGTAGCAATGCCATCAAAGAAAGAGAGGAGCGCGACCGGTCGGCCTGTTTTTCCTGGAAACCGCTTGGGTTTGTTCGCAGCTTGTTGCTGGTTTAGGGTATTAAGGTTACTAGGGTCGGGGCAACTGGGCGCCGGCAGCGGCAGATTCTGCTGCACGGCGCTGCACACGGGTTCGGGATTTGGGCGCACAGGGTCATGGGAAAGCAGCATCGAGGAGGCACCCTGACACTGGGCCTCACGTGTGTGACAGTCGGGGATGGGGTTACATATGCTGCTCGCGCAAGGCACGGATGCACTGTCATGATGCCTGGGCACTGGAAAGCTCTGTTCACAAAGCAGGAACAACCCCAGCGGCTGCAGGGGTTCGGATGCTGGCACCTCAGAGGGAGAAACGCCAACAGAGTCTACCGGCAGGCAAACTGAACCTTCGCTTTCATGGCCGCCTTCTTGCGCAGGTGTCGCCCGGAGCGGCAGTCCGAGCGCCCTGAGCTGTCCCTACTGGCCCGCAGCAGGGGCTGACGCAAAACCAGCAATTGCCGGCACATTTGTTGGCGGGGTGGATGAAACAGAACCATGTGAGAACTTGCACGAGGCCCCGAATTTGCAGAACCCTTGCTGAAACAAGCGACAAGGCGGGCGTGAGTATGGGGTGGAGGCAGGCAAAGGCAAGTGAGGATTTTGCACGCTACCGTAGCTTTGCAGGGGAACTTTACCTTTTCCTTTACCGAAACCGTACTCTTTTCCTCCGCCCTTGGAATCCCGACCTTTTCCCTCCTTGCCTTTCCCTTTAAACTGATCAGGTGGAATCCAACGCGCCAAGGCATCATGCTTTTCAGGCGACTGCACGATCTTGTCCACGCCACTTCCAAACGTACCACCAGCTCGCATATGCATGGCGAGGTCCCAGGACGTCTTCTTGTAGTACTCCCGGATCTGCGGGATCTTGTTGGGGTGGTCCCGCGTGAGGTTCACGAAGAAATCCACGAGCGTGTTGACCTGGTGTTCCTGCCCCCAACGAGCGAAGATCATAGACCAGCGGATACTCTCAAAGGCGTCCAATACGGTGAGCAGGCGCTGAGGCTCCGGAATAGGTTGCTGCTGTTTCACGAACTGCCCGT